TTAAATATTTTTAATTAAATAATAATTGTACTTAGAAACCTGTTAATTAATACAGCAAACTATATCTAATATTAAATATAACCACCAATTTACAGCGTATTTATACAACCAAACCATATGAATTGTTAACAAAAGTATGGATCTAGTATTAGTATGTTTAACAAAAGGATAAACATGTAGAACTTGCTATACATCACCTTTTATTCTAATTTTGTTAAATTCAAGAAATGCTCTGACCATATACTGCGTATTTCTCTCATCTGTAAATCAGAATATGGGTCTAAATTTTGAAAATGCTGCCAAATGCAAAAAAATTGTAACATCAGTAATATTAAAAACAACTCAATATTTAAACTAAAATTATTATTTTCATATAATATTATTACCTTGTGGAATGAGTTGGTTATACCCCCAGAGATGATTTCATACATATACCTCATCACATAATATCCACATTCCACATCTTTTAGCTGTTTATGGCACTACAAATATTCACAAAACAAGAGTGATCAATATAATTAATCTCACCATTGTTTAAATTTAAAATACATACCTTTAAATAAACCCAATCGATAAAACTTTGGCTATTCTTTCTCATCAATTTATAGTGCATCTTTAAAGATCTATTTATATAAAATACTTGTAAGAAATAAAGTTATACACAATACTTACGATTCAAGAACTCCTTTCATATTTTCACTTACTTCCCATTGCAGAGAACAAAACCAATATATGGTCTAGTTAGATGGACAAATAACAGCAAGCCTCCAATGACCACTATAACATGAGTTAACATTAACACCATATCATTAAGAAAGTTTTCATTTAATTAAGAGGTGAATTAGAACGAAGTACCTTTCTATAATTGGTGCAAACCAACACTTTTCATTTCCTTCTTTAATCGTACTTCCAATGTATGATGTTCTCCCACTGAAAGTATTTCCGGTTGGTTGAATATGATGTGGACATAAGAATCTATAATGATTAGCCCTATCCAGTTCTTTGCAAAGATTGTGGAGATACCTATGAAAATGGCAAATGAGTTAGTAAGAAAATTAAAAACAACATATATGTAAAGTTAAAATAAAATTCATACTTACATGAGAAACAATTGAATTATTGATATGTTTAGCAAATCAAAAGCAAGAAATTCAGCAACATCTCTCTTGAAGATTGTTAATTCAATAGCTCGCCCCACAATCTCTCTACTCATACTTAGTTGAACAGTGTTGTTCATATCAACAAAAACTAAAGCTAGCTAGTTCAAGCTATCTCGCTTTGGCTTGACACTACGTTCAATAGCATGTTGAGGATTTGAATCAAAAGAATCCTTTGATTGGTAGACTTCCTAATCAATGACAAATATAAAATTAGAAATGCATACCATATGAATTAGGAAGTGAAAGATCACAAATAATTCATACCTCAATGGTAGTGGTAACTAGATGCCTTAGCCAAAGAATGAAATTATGTTTAGCTTGTCCCACTGTTTTTACCTCCTCATCAGGGAATGGCACTAAGGCATTAGCATCCACAACCTCTTCAACCACCGCCTTTACCTGGTAATCTAGAATCTCTTGATGATGGATCCTTATTGCAAATTTGTATACCTTTCCATGTGCAACTAAACATTTATTAGGATCCTCTACATAAAGCATACACGACACTTCTTCTGCCACACAACTACTTCTTGTACTTAGAGGCATAGGAGGTTGTTGTGCTTGCAAAGACTGCGTATGCATCGAACTAAAAGATTTTATCATTGATTGCATTTGCATAATTTTATCTTGAAAATCTTTCTCTAGTGTTGTTACTCTTGCATCAGCTTTCTTTTCTGCTTCCTCTATCATCATCTGCACCTGCTATAATGGTACACCTTTTGGGCCATGAGTAGAAGGTGGTGGTCCAAAGTATTCTCTAATACCGACACCTCTTGGTAATCCTCTGACACGGCTAGGGTGCTCTTTCTTCTTTAATGCTGTGGTTAATATATCTTGCCTACCAGTAGGAACAAAGGTTCCTTGAGTAACTGCTTCTTTCCAAGGAGTCCTATGACAAGCAAAGAAGAAATGCAATCAGAAAACTACTCCTTCAGCATATCACAAGTTTGTTAATTACAAAATACTTACAATCTTTTTTGCTACTTCTCTAGCCTTTTCAGTAAGGAACTCCCCTTTCTTATTCATTCGGGCTCTCTTCCATGCTTGAGCACGATTGACAGGAGATAGAGGAGAAACATCTCCATCATCCTTAGCCTCTGCAAGTTGTCTCTTAGCCTCCCATTTTTCTTCCATCATTTTGTTGTTTAGCAATGCATAACCTCCACGAGACAAGGTATGGGGGTATAGATTTTTTTCCTGTTTCTCCTTACCTCTTTTTCTTTTTTCCTAATAAAACAATGAAAAGTATTTATAAAAAAGAAAATATTAAATAAATACTACTTTAACATCAAATTCTTCTTTTACTTACCAAAAAATCAGAATTGTATCTGCTTTCAACAAATTCCATCCATGTCATTTCATCAATATATGAGTATTTCTGCCAAGGCTTTTCAAAGTTTGTGTCATCATCAACATCATGATCACTTTCACTACCCTTTTCATTAAATATATAATTTCTTGTGAGTTTGGACTTAAAGTCCCTCCACTACACTGCTGCATAAGAGAGCCACTTCTCCTTCATAAACATTGTATCAGGTATGTCATAAGTAATCTGCAAAAGCAACACATGTAAGTAATAAAGTTAGTAATAACATATACTTCAATACAATAGCTAAATAAAAAGTAGATATAGGATGTAATGAGAGGTACCAGTATAGTATCCCAAACTTCATTTCTATCATTTTGTCTCACTTTATCCCATTCATTTATCAAAATGCTAATTTTTTGATGTGCAACAAGTGCAACAAAACTTCTAAATGTGTTCCCTTCTTTCCAATCAATTGGCTCCCCTCTCTTATCAAATTCAATATGAATCTTGCCTCCATCTGCTTGAGCTAATTTAGTAAGCCGTGTGACGCCTCTTTTACAATTTTTTGACTTTGTGGTTTTCTTGCCAATGCTCAATGAATTCTCCATGTATACCTTTGAAAATAGGAATATAAATAAGTTCAGTAATAAAAGAATAATAAATGAAAATTATAATCAAACAAATCAAAAGAAACAATGTTGAAAAGCTTACACAAAAGTTAAAAGCACCTCTACTAATATTACTGTCATAAGAGTTTAATTAATTATGATTACGTCTCCCATAAACCTTCATCATGATTAGTCCTTACGCCATACATATCATCTTCTTTATCACCATGCTCACTTGTTATGCTATATACACCATCTTCTTTATCTTCTTCATCCAATTGAGGCATGGTTGACATAGAAAGAGGAGTCTCACCAATATCACAATAAGATTCATCATTCTCATCATGTGCAATTAGGCTTTTCCCATATAGAACCATAGACTAATTTTTATCAACTAGATCTGTGACATAAAAGACTTGCTTTACATGAACTGCCATAATAAAAGGATCCTCCTTATGACCTACTTTATTAAGATTTATCAGTATTAGACCTGACATATCTATTTTCACACCATTATTGCTATCAACCCATTTACACTTAAAAATCGGCACTTTGAATTTATAGTAGTCAATTTCTCATATTTCTTCAATAATCCCAAAATACTGCATTTAGGATTTTTATCTTTAGAACTAGAAAAGTGCATTGCTTCTGCAACTACCATAACACCATTGTTTTGCATAGTGCTCTTATCATCTTGATATTTTGTGTAGAATGAATAGCCATTGATGTCATATCCACTCCAAGTTGTGACATTATAGTTAGGCCCACTAGCTAGCCATCTTACTATATTGGAAACATTGAACTTTTGACGATCTTGCTTTACCTTTGCCTTAAACCAAAGTGAGAAACACTTATTGCGCTCACTTAGCAACCATTTATCTACCTTTTTAGGGTTTTGAACCCTTAATTCCTCTTTATGCTCAAACAAGTAATCTTGAACTTTATCAATGTTATTTAAGATGTATATATGCGCTTGTTCTACATCATCACGCTTCATAAGCCTCACATTAAACCCTCACGTCCCTTGACCTGCAACTCTCATTCTCTCATGGCGAGACTCAGGAAGTCCTATAGGTTTTATTCCAGATAGGTATTCAGTACAAAACTCAACAACCTCTTCAGCAACATATCTTTCAACAATAGACGCTTAGGTCGATGTGGATTCTTCACATACCCTTTAAGGATTTTCATATATCACTCAAATAGGTACATCCAACGCAAATAAACAGGGCCACACAACTTTATCTCTCTCACCAAATGTATAATTAGATGCACCATGATATCAAAAAATGACGGCACAAAGTACATTTCAAGTTGGCATAAGGTAATGACAACATCATTCTGCAATTCATCCAATTTCTCTGGGTCAATGACTTTACTACATATAGCATTGAAGAAGGAACATAATCTAATTATTGTATTTCTCACCTTTTTCTCTAGTATGTCTCGAATTGCTATTGGTAAGAATTGTTGCATCAAAATGTGGTAATCATGGGACTTTATGCCTACTAATTTTAAATCCTTCATTGATACAAGCCTTTTGATATTTGAAGAATATCCTTGTGGCATCTTAATACTTTGTAGACATTGACAAAAGCTTTTTTTTCTCTCTTTTTGACAAAGTATGATGGGCTGGGGGCATGTAAGTTCTCTTTCCATCAGTTCTTGGACACAAGTGTGTTTGAATCCCCATTTCAAGTAAGTCCAATCTTGCTTTCTTACCATCCTTGCTCTTTCCCTCTATATTTAATAGTGTTCCAATTAGTCTTTCGCACACATTTTTTTCCACATACATCACATCAATACTATGCTTTACCTCAAGATATTTCCAATAAGGGAGATCAAAGAAGATAGACTTCTTCTTCCAGAGATTCTTCTCAGTTACCTTTTTTTGGCTTTTACCCAATACTGTATCAACGTCTTTCACCTGTTCATATACTTGGTATATAGTAAGGGGCTCTGGAGGGTCCTTATACTCTTGAAAGCCATTAAATTCCTTTTTCTTCCTTTGATAAGGGTGGCCTGGTTTAAGAAATCTTCGATGACCAAGATAAAATGTCTTCTTTCCATGTGATAACTATTGGTGAGATGTCCTGCTTCACATATAGGGCATGCATTGTGCCCTTTAACACTATATCCGGATAAGTTTCCATAAGCAGGAAAATCATTTATTGTGCAAAAAATCATAGCTCTTAGCTTAAAAGACTCTTCATGATATGTATCAAATACATCTACACCTACCTCCCACATCATCTTCAAATCATCAATCAACAGTACTAGATAAACATCCATATCATTTCCTGGCTGTTTTGGGCCCGAAATCATCAAAGATAACATAATATACTTGTGTTTCATACACAACCAAGGAGGTAGATTATAAATCACTAAGAGAACAGGCCATGAGCTATGTTGACTGTTAAGATTTCCATAAGGATTCATCTCATCCGTGCAAAGTCCAAGCCTAAGATTCCTAGGCTCATTACCAAATTCAGAAAATAATTGATTGAACCTTTTCCATTGAGAAGAATCAGTAGGATGTCGAAGCATTCCGTCAGTTTTCCTTTCTTCAACATGCCATCTTAACTTCTTTGCCTCATTTGCATTAGCAAATAAATGTTTAAATCTTGGTATTATCGGAAGATACCACAATACCTTTGCAGGAGGCCCCTTAGTAATAACATCACCACCCTCCATCTCTTTTACTTTATAGCTTGATGTCCCACAGACCGGACATGCATCCAGCTCATCGTATGCTTTTCTATATAATACACAGTCATTGGGGCAAGCATGTATCTTTTTATATCCTAATCCTATTGGGCATAATATCTTCTTTGCCTCATAATTATGATCTGGAAGTAGATTACCTTTTGGAAGCATATCTTTCAACAATATAAGCAACTCTGTGAAACTCTTATTACTCCACCCATTTTTTGCTTTTAAGTTGACTAGCTTTAACACTACTGTCAACCTTGTGTACTTTGTGCACCCAGGATATAAAGGCTTTTCGGCATCATTGCACAAGTTACTATATTTATGTAATTGCTTAACAACATCAACACCTACATCATGAATCATATCTTCCACTCGCTCATCCATATCCATATCATCTTTCTCAATCTGGCACACTCTATGTTTTTTAGACTCACCATGCAATACGCATTGTTTATATACTTTGTAGAACCCAAAACAAATCAAGTGATCCTTTATTTCTGTTGTAATTTGTCGCAACCTATTCATACATTTAACACAAGGACAATAAAACAATCCATTGTTATTAGGAACATTATTCTTCACAAATTCCAAAAACTGATCCACCCCACACTCATATTCGTCACTTGTTCTTAGAGCGTCAATCCAACTACGATCCATGATTACCTAATTCAAATATCAACACCTTATTATTTTTTGAGGTAATAAAAAACCCAGCAGCATGACAGCTTAAAAAATGATGTCTCCCATGCATTAAACCCTCAATTTAACCTTGTTATCTCCTAATCAAACATATATTCCAGCAAATCTCATATTTCTCATTTAGACTAACTCCAGAGTAATGTGACTTTTATCAACTCTGATCAAATTTAATTCAACTTCAAAGCTATACATTACAAATTCTAACTTCATTCAAACTCTATAAGTTCTAATTCAACTTCAAAGCAATATGATACCAAATGAAACAACAAGGCAAGTTTTCAGAGTCAATATGATATTCTAACAAATATAATCTCAATGATACTCATCAATACTAACTCTAGAAAAAAAGTGACAATTATCAAATATCATCAAAAAAACTTTGGTCAAAGAATGATTAAAATTTTATTAATGTGAGAAATTATATATTATAAAAAAATGCATTATTTAATTGTAACCAAAGTAATTTTGTGTATGTTACATCAAGTATTATGCATATACATCAATTGTATTTCACATTATCATCTATTTTGTCCCTTTTCGAGATATATAATAAATTAAATCAAATCAAACATATTTAGTCCTCAAGTATGATATATTAACTAAGATAAGTCATGTTAATAAAATGTAACAGCTCATAAGTTTAATAACAAGAACTAATCTAAACTTTCTCAACGTTAGGATCTAAAAATTGAATAAACTATATGACAACAGAAAATAATATTTAACCTAAAAGAATAAATAAAATAATTGCACAGGTTGAATATTTCATTCTTCCACATTCATTTAATCTCCCTCTTCTCTCATATCTTATTCATTTGCTCTCTACAGCATTCATCCTCCATTATCACTTCCTTTCATTTTATGTCTGTTGTTAGGTCTGAATCATCATAAAAAAGCCATATTTGTACAGGATTAAGCATTTGGAACAACACAATGACATAAATATGTAAACTTGCCTTTTTAGAAAAAACCATTAGAAGATTTCTGCAGTAAAAACATAACCGAAATTTCAGAACAAGATTTCAGGAGAAAAAAACAAAACTTGTTACATTTGAAAAACTATTACTTGCCGTATAAACAAAATAAGATTTCAGAAAAACTGTTACATTTGAAAACCCAGAGTTTAGCAATAGAAACAGATTTCAACAAACAAATATTTCAACAAGAGAATTTAAAACTAGTTTTCAGGGGGAAAAAGCCTGGTGCATTGACTTATCGCACATATTATTTCAGCAAAAGTCTTACTTGTTAAACTAATTGGTGCCAAAAGCATAAGAACTAATTTTTGATAGGTTCACAGCTAAATTGACTGGTATTGGTTCAGTAACAGATCAATCACGCAACCTCATTCCTTTACTTTTATTGGTTTGTGTTTCTATCAAATGAATTGGTTCAATGACCACTGCTCCATTTTTCTAGTTTGATCAGAATGTAGTTTTCGCATAACATAGTGCAAATTAATACAAAAAAGGACATTCACATTCTTGATAGCATCCCTTCCCACACAACAAAAATTTGGACTCCTAAATCACGGTAAGGATTGGTCATCACGTTAGCAAGTAAAACCCATTCAACCAAATAACTTCTCATCTCATTTCTAGCTACAAAACTAGCATTATATGAACAATAAACAGGAGATGATGGAAAATCCCATAGAAACAATTTTAAAAAAAAACTGAACGAACAGAGTACGGTAATCACACGATTCTTTAACAGATCAAACAATTTTTCAGTTTCAGCGACAATCCAAAATGATCAGAAAAACTAAAATACTCACTAGAACCTAAGCTTCAAACAAATTACTGTCAACGCACGGCACCGAGATATGCAAGACCTAAGGCATCATCGACGATGATGAGGAGGAAAGAACAGAGCAGCTTTGGTGATACCCAAATGGCGATGAAGGAAGATTCCAAGTGCCACCTAAAGATAGATAAAGAAGAAGATGAGACCCACGAACCTGCTCGAACCCAACGCGAAGAAGAAGAACACCAACCCCAACTGCCACCTTGAAGACAGAGTGAAGAAGGTGAGACCCGGAACCAATTCAAAGATAGAACAAAAGGAAGGCAAGACGATTAGCTCGAGACCCACAGGACACTGATTAAACTTCTAGCGGGACCTACTCCACCACCACCCACGAAGACAGATACGGAGGAATGGGGCAAGAGGAACCTAGAGCTAATGAACCATATAATAAAGACGGGAAAGCGTGCTGATGAAAATATGGAGGGAAGGGGGAATTTTTTTTTTTTTAAGTTCCTCAATGTATTATGGCTTCAGGCTCGAAATAGGACTGAAGCCATATGCACCTTATGGCTGCTGGTAATGGGCTAGACGCAGTAACCTTTAAAAAAAACTTACATATAGCTTGTATAAAAAAAAATTGCACACAGCATCTAGTTAGATATATACTAGATGTTCTACCTAATATAAATAGATAATTTCTTAATCTAAGTTTGAAATAAATCAAGTTTTTAATTGTATAAAATCATTTAAAAGAAAATTTCTCATTAAAAACCATTCAGTTAGTGACAAAGAAAAATAAAAAGAATTAAAAATATATTATTTCTATTTAAATAATTAAAATTTTTAATGGAACTAATTAAATAAAAATGAAACCATAGTATGTAATAATGCCTTTATGCCTTATAGAAGATGTCCTAATGCTAGTATATGAAACGAAATATAATTTAAAATTATTTGGTATATTTATGGAGTCTGTTTAAAATTAAACAGAAGTCATATGTAAGCTTATGGCATCAAGTCTAAGCAGGTTAGAAGCGAAAAGTGTTGAAAGAACATACAACTTCTATTTCCTCTATAACTGACACCAAAAGTAGAAACTAAGTTGGTATTTTACACTAGTGCAAATTGATTAAGTGATAAAGAGGCAGCATGGAATTTACAATTTTAATGTTGACTTGCTTAATTATTACATGATATTATCTTTAGGGTATATGCCATATGTTATTTGAACTTGTTTGATGATAATGTCTTTGAATTGCTTGCATAATGTGCCTTGGCATAATTCATTCGTTTATTGATCTGGATTGATTTGATATGGTGTTTGTATGGCATAGAGGTAGAGAAATGTTTTGTATATTGATTGTAATATATCTTGCATGTTTAACATTATCATTGTAATTTCTTTGCTACTGAGATTTCTGTGAAATCTCATTCCTCTCAATGTATACACAATCAATAGGGATCTCAAGTGGTGTGATCAAGGCAAGTAGATGGTTATTCCATGAAGGAAATATGTTATGGAATTATATTGAATTCATGTTGAGTATATGGTTTGTAATTATTATGAATTATGTTGGAATATTGTAATAATGATCAAAGTACTATGCATGCAGATATTGGGCCAAGGAATGATGTCTAAGCATGTGATTTTTAATTGGAATAGTCTATGGAAGGAAAAGAAAAGATAAATGTAAGAATTGCATAAAAAGGGATAAAAGTTGACTTTTAATAGGCAAAGTTTGACTAATAAAATTTTGTACAATTGGATGAGTCTTGGGCTAAAATTGGCAAAGTTATAGATTATATTTTTAGGTTTAAAACAAGTATCATTTCATTAAATTTAGAGTTTTATACAAAAAGTTATGCCCTTTCAAAGTTGGGCACAAATTCTAAAAATGAACAATTGATCATATAAACAGTACTACTTTGCATGAAATCTGGAATCAACTGATAAGTCCTAGATGCCAATAATTATTTTTTTCCCTAAAGATGGTATTAAGAGCTTTAAATAGAACTTAGAACCACTTTGTTTTTATTTTTTTAGAATTGGTTATGAATTTTCAAATTTGACTCTTGTTAGGGTTATAATGAATAGTAACCTTAATTTAAGAAAATTTAATGTTCAAATTTTTCCAACTTAAGGCTAAAAGAAATTATCCAAAATGGTTCCAACTGAGATAAAATGAGGCCTAAAAGTAAGGCGTGATAGAATATGCAGGAATTTATCTTGGTTCAATCTCAACCACTTGACCTATGTTCAGTTCTCAGAACACCTCTGAGCTTTTCACTATACCCCAAGATTCAATAGGCTCTTGGTGCCATAGTACAGTAATTGAGCTCGCTCTCAATCACTCCCTCTTACTTCTCGTAAGGTTACAATCCCCTCAAGAGTCTTAGACTCTTGAGTCACTCATTGAAAGTAATAAATGATTTACAAACTCTCTCTTAAGAGTGTATAAGATAAACACTAAAGATTAGAATGGAAAACAAAGTATTGAATGCAGAAAGTTAATTTGATAGTTGGTAGCTTAGCTCATTTATTACTTCAATCAATGCTCTTGGTGGTTTTTATAGTTAGAGACTTCCATCTTTCTGTTAGACACAAGAGCTTATAACCATTAAGATATCGTTTGTGTGTGTGGGTAGTTGCAACAGTTGTTCGTAATAAATGCACTTTTGACACAGGTAGCTTTGGCCTATAATATATCCATTGAGCCTCATCAGCTGTAAAATTGTCTTAGTAAAAATGTAATAAGTTATTTCACCAGAGAATATAAACGAATAGCAGAAGAAATGATCATTCTTGGATTTTAATAGATGAAGTCAAAATCACAAATCATGGATTAGAGAATCATAGAATCAATTTATCAAAGATCTTATCAATAACTAGCATGATCGATAAAGTTATCAATTAATTGAAAATGAGAGAACTTGAAAATCAAACTCATTTATTGAAGTCATTGTGGATCATACACTTTATGGAACAAGTTATCAATAAAGAGTGAATTGTAATCAAAGTGATTTTTATTGTGAAAATACTTCTGGAATCAATTGAAAAATCTGTAACTTGAATTAAGTGCCTTCTTTGTTTTTAATAAGAATGTAAGATGATTAATAAAGACCGAGAAAAGCTTGAAGATAGAGTAATGTCATATTCTCTGAAAACTATTGTGAAGAACAATTTCAAGAAATGTATTTGGACTTTATGG